CCTTCGGCCGCGCTTAGGGATTATAACCCTTACTAAGTAGAATTCTCTTTTCTGTGTTGCCGGAAAAGGGGGCCGGACGTACTTTTGCGCAGAACTTCTTTCTGCGTAGGCGGCCTTCGGCCGCGCTTAAGGATTATAACCCTTACTAAGTAGAACTCTCCTCTCTGTATTGCCGGAAAAGAAGGGCGGACGTATTTTTGCGCAGAACTTTTCTCTGCGTAGGCGGCTTTCAGCCGCGCTTAGGGATTAAAACCCTTACTAAGTAGAATTCATATTAGAAAAAACGAAATTATCCATATGCACACTTTCGTTAGAAAACCGAAATAATGCATATAACAAAAACCGAAATAATGCATGCATGCACAATTTCAGTTCAAAACCGAAATAATGCATATGGCAAAAACCGAAATAAAGCATACATGCACAGTTTCGGATGAAAACCGAAATAATGCATATGTGAAAGACGAAGGTATGCATACTTGCTCAGTTTCGGTTGAAAACCGAAATAATGCATATAACAAAAACCGAAATAATGCAAGCATGCACAGTTTCGGTTGAAAACCGAAATAATGCATATGAAAAACCCGAAGCAATGCATACATGCACAGTTTCGGTTGAAAACCGAAATTATGCATATGAGAAAATACCGAAATTATGCATACCCATACTTTCGTTTTAAAAGCGAAATAAAGCATATGAAAAAAACGAAGTAATGCATACATGCACAGTTTCGGTTTAAAACCGACATAATGCATATGGTAAAAACCGAAATAAAGCATACATGCACAGTTTCGGTTGAAACCGAAATAATGTCTAAATGCACAGTTTCCATATGCGCAATTTCGGTATTTGAAATAATACAGTTCTTACTCTCCACTGTAAAATTTTCGGCAACCTCACATACGCGCTTTTGCATTATCTTGATACGCGACTTTGTACTTTAAACAGCGTATATATTATTAGCGATGAAGGAGATAAAGATGTAAACAAAAGCTACATTTATTTATATGATTATGATTTATACATCTAAGTGAGTATATATGTATGTATGTATGTATGTATATATATCAACATTCAAGAGCATAGAAAACATTCATATACATTATATACTTTGCTTTTTTCTGAATACTAGAATATTTAAAGCATCATGGCTAAGTTCCAAGTTGCATCAATACAATGCATCAGCCTCTTTTTTCTAAACTATAATTGATGGAAATGCCCAATTTGCCGAACTAAATTCCAATTCGGCATTTGAACGTGGTTGCTCATATTGAATATTTTTATCAGTTATAGTTTAAAAATAAAGAAAGAGTCTGCTTTGCATTTATGTAACAATTTCTGCTTTGATTATTTGCATGGAGCTGAAGAAGTAATCAATTGGTACGCATGAAGCTGGAGCACTGAAATATTTCTCCCCCAGTTTATACCTATTCCGAATCATGGAGCTGGAGCAGTGAAATATTTATTTCATATAGTGGTGGCAATTATTTTAGTGCTCAAGGTTCAGAATCGGCATGTTTGCACTACTAGCATGCAATATCTACTGAGAAAATCATCGGATCTGGGCACTATAAGGCATATCTCACATATCGTTACTTGTTTTTATTTGCTAAATAGTTTCGCTAACAGGTTAAAATAACCACATCTCCTTAGCTTATACAATCGGAATGTAAGAATATACGTTTAATAAAAAATGCACACAAGAAATTTGTACTTACGTCCCAAGCAATCCATGCAGGTTATACTTTTCTTCTATAGATGTCTGTTTATTAAGCTCTTTGTTGTCCTTTTTCATCTTTTTGCTAGAATCCTTTTTGCCGAACAGTGGCATTTTTTCGGTGCTGCTCCAGCGAAACTGCCCAATATTTTATTTATCCACTAAAATATTATATATTCTCGACGTGTTTTAACGATGGCATTTAGTTGGTGTTTACATATAAGCATATGTACATTATTTTAGACTACTCTTCATAGACAAAAATGTCTATAGGTTCAGTATTGGAGTTGATATTAGTTTTTGTCACTTGCATCTAGAGAGATATCAATCGCTGACAATTGCTTCTCAAATATGTTTTCTTTACTAAATTCTTTGTTGAATGTACGCTGCTTTCGTTATCGGCATAAATTTGACGTATTATTTACTGAAAATATACAAAGATTTTGTGTTAATTAAGATTTTAAAATATTCTGTGCATTTGTAATTAAGCGTTTCAGACGTGCAAACATGTACATACGAACATATGTGCAACTCATTTTTTAAGAAATCGCTGTAACTCAAGAATATATAGCTTTCCTACAACGCAATCAATAATCGAAAGTATTTATAGACTGTAAATAAGAATGGTTTTCAAATTTTGAAACCATCCCAACCATTGGAGAATATGATATATGACTTTAAAAAAACTTGACTTTTAATATTCTGTACATTAAATCCTAGGCAGTGATAATAAATGCATCGTGATTTTTCGGATTCGTTTCGAAATTTTTTAGAATAGTTCAGGATAGTTTCGGGACTATTTAGAATGCTTCGTGATTTACTCATTGGAATTTTTCTGGGCATTTTCTTGAGATTTTCAGCATTTTTCTAGACTTCACCGATGTATGTTTTCGGGATACTTAGTGCTTTATTTTTCGAGACTTTCAGGATTTTACAGGAACTTGCGGCCCAAAAGTAAATTCGAATCTTTGTTTTGCCTTAATGAATGTCTAACAATTACAAAAACTACCGGTTATGTTTTCCTCAAAATATTATATAATGAAAAGTTTAAGTTTTCTTTTTACATAATAATAATGAAAGCAAAAGGGCAAGGATTTAACTAGATAATTTTTTAGCCCCTCAAAATCGACAAATTTCTTTTAGAGTTATGCCGATTTTTTGATAACCGCGCGTTGTATGTTGTTTTTTTTAAATATAATGAAATTGATAAGAGCACAAGCTAAGCTAAACCTTATCTCAAAGCGTGAACTTATAAGGGAAATACATGCAAAAATTTACATTTGACCAGCTGCAGGGGATATTTGAAGGGCACGCATTGTAGATTGTTTACGCAGCTGGTTGTAGGGAAGTACAGCACCCGTTTTACTGGACTTTTGGACATAAATAGGCGCACAGACACATGTACATTAGGGTGATTCAGAAAAAATTTATTTTTCCGCGGAACCATGCTCAAAAGTTTCGTTAAAGAATAACACAGGAAAATTTGTTTTTTTTTTATTCTGATTTTTACATTTAATGAACGATACATTGTACTGTAAAGGCCTTGAAGTATTTTTCTAGAGAATTGAATGCTTTACAAAAAATGTCTGAAGTCATTTTTCGAAAAGTCGTTCTTTCAACTTTGATCTCGAATAACTTTTGACCGAGTTGACTTATCGAAAAATTACTTCAGACCTTTATTGGTAGAGCGTTCAATTCTCTCCAAGACCTTTACAGTGTAATGTATGGTTCGTTAAATAAAAAAATCAGAAGTAAAAAAAAAAATTCCTGTCTTATTCTAATGGGAAATCGAAGTGCTTTTTTAATTCTGATTTTTATATTTAACGAACGACACGTTGTACTGTAAAGGTCTTCTCTACAAAAATACTCCCATACCATTACAGTACAACGTATCGTTCGTTAAATATAAAAATCGGAAGTAAAAAAAAAACAATTTTTCCTTTGTTATTCTAATGGGAAATCGAAAAGTGTTTTTTTACTTCTGATTTTTATATTTAACGAACGACATGTTGTACTGTAAAAGTCTTCTCTACAAAAATACTCCAATACCATTACATTAAATATAACAATCGTAAGTAAAAACGAACAATTTTTCCTGTGTTATTCTTATGGGAAATCGGAAAGTGCGATTCGGACATTCTTAATATTAATATTAAGGGCTCATATTTTCTGAGACTTATTTTGGCGTCTAAACGAAACTTTTGAGCATGGTTCCGAGGAAAAATAATTAAAAACAAAATTTCTGAATCACCCTAACGTACATACATACATGTATATGATAAATATGTACATTAGATGTCTTATTTTCTCCATACATTTTGCTAAAGTATTTCATATCCACCCTGCTGCAGCAGACTATGAAAATAGGACGCTAAAAGCCTAACAAAATGAAAACAAAGATTTCAATATTGCACAAACTAAAAAATCCGCGATATAAGACTATAGTAAGGTTTTGATCGTTATAGGGAAAAACATTCACCTTGCACAGGACAAAAATAAAAGATATCCAACCTTATTTAGTATAAGCCGCTAAAGCGAATGGCGTAGGCAGTTTTAATACAACTATCGTATTACCCACGAGGCCTAAAGTGACTAGTTGGTACTTCTTCCACGAATTCATTAGGATTCTCAAGCAGTGTTGCCAGTTTCTTAGGGATTTTTTCAAATATCGAAATTTTTTTTTTTTGTTCTAAGACAAATCAACAGGGCATGGATCACGTATGACGACAATCGTCTGAACGATATTGTGTTGCTTCATGAAAACCAAAAATTGTTTGATCGTTTGTGCGATATCGTCAACTCGATCACGTATCAGCAACACAAATGCATAAATCAGTGTTTTTATGAGGTCGTTTTGTCACTATCATTTGAACAACTATCGTTCCAAAGTAACGTGATTCATGCCCAGGTTACAGCTTCTTATAATAATTTATTAAAGATTCTCCTTTTTATTAATGTACGTAGAATTTTCTAAAACTTTTGGTCCTGTGGGTGTTCACACTTAACTGGTTACCAGGTTATCTGGTTAAAAATTACACTGTGCTACACAAAAAATAGGCAGGGGTCCTCATATAGAAATTATGTTTTGTTAGTATATCTATGTTTTCCTTTTTTCCTAGAAATGTTTTCGCTTTGTTTGTTATTTATTCATTTTAGTATCGTTTTCGACCATGTACGTACATACATACATATATACATACATATAAACTACCTATGGTTTTTTGATATCTTATGGATCTGCTTCTATTTGTTATTTTTTTTACTTGATCTTATAAAAGTCTTGCTAGCGCCATCGGAGTGCGCCCTTCAGCGCCGGATTAAGGGCAAGGCCGACGGGGCCGCGACCCAGCGCCGCCACGTTTTCATGTGATGACGAAAGAACAAAAAAATAATGTTTCAGATATTACAGAAAAGATCGCTAGGTATTAAGAAGATTTGTGAGCACCATATATATCATGCGGAACCTAGCTTAGCTTCTCCTGGCTCTGTTGGGATTCTCGACTTACCCAATAATGGAAATTTGGATGCTGGAACTAATAGCTCAGAATGACCCCCGGACATATTAAAGAGTACAAAGTAAGGGACGATGATACGTGAATTATTTATCTTCCAACAACTGCGAGGAAATAATAGCTTTGAGGGGTGAGAAAGTACAGGGGTCATTCTAGGAGGAAAACAACATAAATTTAAATATCCCTAATTATCTCTATTTCCGTAGTAACATCTTTTTAAATAACTACATTTCATTAACCTGTGGGAAAATATTTATAAAATCAAAAGAAGTTCTAATTTTTGTTTATGGAAACTTTTATTTCATGCATAATTACTTTACACCAGTCACAAGGAGATGACCCACCAGTCACAACATTAAATATTTTTTAATATTTCTATGAAGATTATATAAACGTAATTTTTATTGAAAACGACAGCGTAAAAAAAAAATTTTTTTTCATGTATAACTACTTTACACCAGTCACAAGGAGATGTCCTGAGAAGTAAGGGACGATGATACGTGAATTATTTATCTTCAACAACTGCGAGGAAATAATAGCTTTGAGGGGTGAGAAAGTACAGGGGTCATTCTAGGAGGAAAACAACATACATTTAAATATCCCTAATTATTTCTATTTCCGTAGTAACATCTTTTTAAATAACTACATTTCATTAACCTGAGGGGAAAATATTTATAAAATCAAAAGAAGTTCTCATTTTTGTTTATGGAAACTTTTATTTCATGCATAATTACTTTACACCAGTCACAAGGAGATGACCCACCAGTCACAACTTTAAGTATTTTTTCATATTTCTATGAAGATTATATACACCTAATTTTTATTGAAAACGAAAGCGTATAATTCATATTTTACAACACAAATACAGCGTTCCTGAAAATTAAGTGTTTTGGCTAAAATTCATATTTGAGTGCACAAGGGTAAAATAGAGTTCTTTTCGGTGTCCCATCAGTCACATTAATTCAAATAATAGTTACATAAAACTAAGAAATCGTTTGGTATTTTTGTTTAAGCAATTTTATGCATTAGTTATCGTTCTATGTTAAAAAAATATATTTCGCTGTTGTATAAGTTCCGACGACATAGTTAAAATTCACAATTGATTCTGGAGTAAAATGTCCCACTAGTCACAATGGAATGGCCCAAAGGCAGAAATAATAAGCCGGATCAAAAAGACAAAATATTCGCACTATTCCATCTCTGTTCATATACGAGATTGCCGTGGTCAGTCGTTTAATACTGCATGCAACATGAGCGGCAAGTACAAAGGGATTCAGGCGAGAATTTCAAAGAAAACACGTGGTTAGAAGTCAATAATAAACGATACTGTTAATATTAAAAAATATATATTTTTTTTTAATTGATTGTATGTAATTATTAACTCAAATAGAAGCCCCCACGTGTATAACGGCCCCGGGCCCCCACATTCTTAATCCGGCCCTGGCTTTCTTTGTAACTTGTCAGAATAGATCCGTTAGATTTGCAAATTTTGCATTAATAGACGTGAAGCTGATTTCACATTGTTTTACTAAAGAAAGAATTTGGAAATAATTAAAAAGATAAAGGAAAATAATTCACATTAAGATACATCCAAACAGTGAAATGTTTGTTTTATTTGCGGATTATTTACGGATTCACGACACAAAATTGAAGCAAAATTGAACAAACAAGTTATTCCGCTTTATGAAGAATAGTTCGGTCGTTTCTATATACAAGGTATGTGGTATATGCTTTCGTCAGTCCCATTGGCTTACGCTACTGATATCAAAAAATCTAGTATTACTAAAATATTAAATGTCATAGATTACAAAATTCACAAGTGGCTAATTGCAGCAGATTCCAAAGTACTAACAATTTTTAACATAAAATGTCCATGCTATTTTTGTAAATGGGACAGTCGAGCAACTAGCCTGCACTACGTTCAAAATATTGGGTTCCACGTACGTCACTTGTAGTTGGTGAAAAGAATAGAATAAATATTCCTCTAGTTAATCCAACGTACATTATTTTACCACCGCTGCATATTAAACTAGGTTTAAGAAGCAATTCTTGAAAACAATTGACAGAAGTGGTCCAACGTTCAAATATCTTGAAAAATTTTTTCCACAAATAACTTACGCCAAATTGAAAGAAGGTACAAGGGTATTTTTACCTCATTTAAAACGAAATCAAATTATATTTATAAACGACTTCCAAAAAATGAGGAGGTTATCAGTTCGACGGAATATTTTTTTTTATGTATGTTACCGAATAACTTTGGACCACGTCTTCGATAATTCTTTTTGTATCGGAAAGGTAGTGTCTCAGAGGTGATCCCATACTAATCTGGTTTAGATCCGATCATTGGATTATGAAAAAA